AAAAAAAAAAAAAAAAAAAAAAAAAAGAGTGCTTGCAGCTCAGTGCCCTGTGTTGTCAGTTATGTTTAACACAGCTGACAGGAAGGCATCTATAAAAAGTACTCACAAGAGCCCCCAACTCAGGACTGACTGTTCTATTAGCTCAGTGCCATTTGGGAAGCAACATTTACACCTGACTTGTCCAAGTATCACTTGGTGCCACAAAGGTGCATCCTGGGTATCCTGAGTGCCAGCCCCAGGGCTGCCAGGCTCCAACTTCCTCTTTTCCCGATAGTCAGAGCCACCGAGGAGCCCACTGCACAGAGGGGAGCCCACTGCACAAAGGGGAACCTAGCCTCAGGAAACTCTTCCCTGTGACTGTGCTGGCAGAGCCAGGATCTGAATTTTCATCCAACGACTGTGTGTCTGTCCTCTCCCAGGAGTGGTCAGCCCTTGGCCCCAGCCTGTTGCTCCCTTCCGAGTGAGATCTCAGCTAAGGCCAGTCATGACCCCTGCTGCCTCCTATAGACCCTTGTGCCCTTTTGTGGGTACAGACCCCCTGTGTGAATATCATTTGATCTCCTGGCAAGACTGGGCCAGGGATTAAATGTCATGGACTGGTGGGTGTGGCTGCCTGCCAAAACAGCTTTAATTGTGGACACAGAAATTTGAATTTCGTGTCATTTTTGTGCACTGCAAAATGTTTGGGTTTTTTTGTATTGGTTTGTTTTGGTTTTCTTTTTGTTTTGTTGAGACTCAGTCTCCTGTAGCTCAGGATCCTCTCAAGCTTCTTACATTGCTGAAGTTCTGAGCAGGCACTCGGCCAGCTGAGCTTCATCCTCGGTGTTTGTTTGTTTGTGTATTTAACTATTTAAAAATATTCAGTCTGTTAGGGGAATAGGCAGGGGCTGGCTGGGCCCTGCCCTTCACCACTGCTTATTTCTACCTGCTGGGCAAGAACTACAGCCATCCCTTCAGATGGCAAGGCATGCCCAGATAGAACCTTCTGCCCCCATAATAAGACTTTGGGGGTCTTCTCCAGGAATGATGGTGATTGTGAGTTCTCTGAGATGGTACCACTTCTCATCATGGGGCAACCGGGGCATGTCCCCAGCCAGACTGAGCTGCCTGTCTGTTCTTAGGGAGACTCTTGTCTTTCTTGTGCTCAGTGTGGAGAATGGTCTTGTTCTACTGCCTGCTGGGTGCCTCTAGGCACAAAGGCCTGTGGCCTGGACCTGTGACAGCTCTGCTGGGGCCACCCAACACCCTCTCCTCCAAAGCTGCTTCTCAGCTTCTGTGCTTCCTAAGGTGGCTCCCAAGTCCCAGTTGGTTGAGCTGCCTGACAGTCAGGCACTGCCTGGTTCTTGTTTCAGGATAGGAAGCCACTGCCTCCAAAGTGGCTCTGTCCTTGCCTGTCCCCTTAACCATGGTGCTTCACTCCTTTGGGTCTCAGTTTATTTTCAGGGAGCTGAAGGACTTGGGCAGTAGGATCTGATGAGTAACCAAGAGGCCAGTGAAGTGTCCAAGGCCTGGGATACAAGGGGAATACCAGCTAAGCTCCTGCCTGGATGTGGTCCAATGCATCTAAGACTGAGGCTTCCTCCTGGTGGCCCAACCTGAGCTCCTTTGAACAGCAACCCTGTGTCCTCTGCACCTGTCACCATCTGGGTGATCATTTATCTCCAGAAGGGTAGTAGTCAGACCTGGGCCAGCTCTGAAGCAGAGACAAAGCCAGTCTCTACCACTGAAACAGGGGCCCAGCAAATATGGCCCAGGCGGTGGGAGGAGGCTGCAGGCACCTGAGGGTAGAGTCCATCTAATCTGGGTTTATTGGGGAGGGTTGAATGTTTGAAGGAGGAGGAGGCTCTGAGTGTCCCACAGCTTCCTACTCAGCATGGAGCTCAAAAATGCCAGTGTTTTTTGTCCCTGCTTTGCGTGGGCCCCTGCAGATCTTACTATGATGACAGGGTTCTGTGAGAGGCAAAGAGTGTAGTTCTCATCCAGGCTTGCCACTATCTATCATGGTGGTCACTGGTGATAACCCTCTTGCACTGTCTGCCCACAGGTTCCAGTCTTTGCTTGAAGTCTGTTACAGCTAGAACTGCAGCTTTTTTTTGTACTGTAGTGTTTTTGTTTTTATTTCAGTTGTTTCGAGGAAGAATGTAGTCCTGGCTACCTTGAAAATTGCTATATAGACTCACACCTTTAATGCCCAGAGGTAGAAGGAGGTGAATCACTGTGAGTTCAAGAACTAATTCTTTAGTGGGTGCCTCCCAGAGGGAGTACTTCACAGTGAGAGGAGCTCGACTTTCACACTCAGTAGTGGGCATTGATTGCACCAGTCACAGCCTGCCTGACCCAGGGCCCCCAGGGCTTGTTGGGAGGATTAAAGGGGATGAGAAATGAGGCTGGCAGTCCATAACAGGTGCTATTTATTGAGGCCACTCCTTGTCCCTTAGCAGGTCCCATTGTTTGGATCTTACTTTAACTCCCTGCTTTGCGTGGGCCTACAGTCCTAGAGTCCTCCCCTACCTACAGAATGTGGGAGCCAGACAGTAAAGAAGACTATCTAGACTCTGAAATGGCACTACAGGCCTGCCTCAGGGGTCCCCAGCTGCAACCCCTTCCTAAGCAGGCAAATGGGTGCCAGCTCCTGACACTCAGCCTCCTGGACACAAATAGATTAAATTTTTCCTGTGAAGGGAGGAATGTCTCTGGCCTGCCTGGGCCCAGCTGTTCCTAGGAATGTGCTGGGAAGAAAACATAGACAGGCCTGAACAAAGCAGTTACCTAGTAGGTGAGAATAGCTCTCTGCTACGGGAGATAACTTTCCTCTTGGACTGGTTATCCAGGAGTTTATGGCATGTCTGTGGGTGTTGCAGGCTGTCCTGGGAACCCTGGAGGAGGAGAAACAATAACTGCCCTTGTAGTGTTCAGTTAGACCTTCCCCAGGCCAGGCCTGGACATCTCAGACTCCAGCTCTCTGATGCATGCAAAGTTTGCTTTCTCTCTTGGGGAGACTGTGTGGAAACTGCGGAGACCAGAGGCACCTTAATATAAAAGGTCCCTGTCATTCTGCAGTTCCCATACCTAGGCCTGGCATCTTGGCAGACTGGAACTGCCATTTCCTTTTATCTCCCCATGTAGTCCTTGAGTCTCTGTGAGCATTAATTCCCATTACTTGCGTGCCACCTGGGATGGGGAGATCACCACCCTTGGGTAGTCCTTCCCCGGATGGTGTTGCGCCAAGCCATGCCCAAAGCTGCCCTTTCAAAGGAGCATCTAAACCTTCCCATAACAGAGCTGTCACAGGCTGAAGGGGTCCTCATGGGAAGCCACATGCCTCTCCCTTAGCCCAGTCCCATCTCCAGTCTCTGGAAGTGTGCGAGGTAGAAGTGGGGCTCTACTTAGCAAAGAGGGTAGAGTGTGAATGTGCTCAGAAAAGAGAGGGGACCCATGTGTGGGTGTGTAGATTCAGAGGAGGATGGTGTGAACAGCCTCCATTCCTTTTGCTCTGGGTTACCATCTCCCTGGGTTTCCCTCCCGAGGACTGCAGGAACACAGTCAGGCCTGTGCTGCCCCAGACCCTAACCTGGCCCTACCCATTCAGCTGTTCCAGCCCAGCTGTTCTCACCCAGCTGCTTGGGGATGGCTTCCTGTATCCCATGGAACCTTGGGGAGGAGGGGGAGGCCTAATTCCTAACTCTTCTGAATCCTCTAGCTCCCAGGGAGATGGGGAGTTTTGCTATGGAGGGGCATGGTGCCTCACACTGGCTTCTGTCACTTCAGAAGTGTGAATTGTGTTATTCATTATGAACACTAGGAAACAACCTGGGTATCCCAGGGTAGACTGCCAAGCGCTTCATTGGCTAGGGATTTCAGTGCAGCATCATGGGAATTTTTTGAATGATTTTCCTGGGACTGGGCCTGTAACCATGCCCCCCACCAGATTCTGAAAAATGTTACCTACACATGAATTTTCGGAAGGAATGTATAACCCCAAAATATGAAAAGGTACTGATCAATAGTATAGATTGCTATGAGACACATAAGATTGTGTTTTTGTGTTTTGGGAGAAGGCTGTTTTGCAGAGCTTATGCAAAACCCTTTCCCTGGCATGAGCACAGTTTTGTTACAAGGCATACACAAGAAGTAGCCATTTAGCAGTTGCTATAGGGCTATGGGAGTTAGCGTCCATGGCTGATATTTGTGTTTCTCTGTGTTTGTTGGATGTTTTGTGACATATATTTATTCCCTTTGTTGAGAAGCCAAGACCCTTCCAGTCTCAGTATCTGGGAATACCCAGCCTTGATCCCAGAAAGGCACACCAAGTTGGGGAGCTAACCCTGGATCTCACGCTGGTCTGTCAGTCACTTGCTAATTTCTTGGCCTTGTAACTTGTGTTAGTGTATCCCCAGGTGGGTCCTAGAGCCTGGTGTTATGGAGGTGAAGGCCTACCCACCCTGTATCGTAACATCTCTCTGGACCAGAGGCTCACACATCCTAGCTTGTGACTTTGAGCTAGACATCCAACCTCTCTGTGCCTCGGCACCATGTAAAGCAGGCACAGTGCTGGCTGCTCCTTTGTGAGTGGGCTGAGATGACTGGGGCTGGGGATGATGGCACTGGTTTTCTGCTCTGCTGTGCCCTCCACTGGTCCCTAGCCTGCCTCTGTCACTTGCTCCCCTTCCCTCTCTCTCCAGAGAGCTCCAGGACCTGCAGGATGGGGGCAGCCTGCATCAAAGTCACCAAGTACTTTCTCTTCCTCTTCAACTTGCTGTTCTTTGTAAGTATGTGACTCCCAGGGCATGCAGCCCTCTCAAGCCCCCGACTCTGGGCAGGTACTAAGTGGGATGTGGCTTGTGGGTTGATAAGAGAATCGTGATGGTGGAATGGATTCACCTCTCCAAGTAGGTTCTCTGACAAAGCAAAGGCTCCTGTCCAGAGCCCTCTGCCTGGGCTGGGGGTGGACACATCCTCTCCCTCTAAGGCAGAGTGGCAGAAGAAAGCCTATTACAGCTCTGTTGGCCAGGCTCCCAACACCCTACCTTGAACTCTCAGAGGCCACAGGGGATATCTTTCCCCACAACCCCATACAGACCCACTAAATTCCCCACCACAGGCTGGCCCAGATGTGAGCTCCATGGCACATCTGGAGCTGGTTTTCCAGCAGCCCTGGGCTTCCCCTCTGGCTTGGAACTGACAGTCCTGCCTTGGTGTTGCCAGACCCGTGGTGTGCTCATGTGTGCTCGTGTGTGTGTGTGTGTGTGTGTGTGTGTGTGTGTGTGTGTGTGTCTGTGTGTAGTGGGAGTATGAACAGCCTGAAGGGGCTTCCATAGTCCCAGAGTCCTACTGGGGCGTGGCTTCTCCAATACTGGTTCACTCAAATAGTTTTAGGACATAGATTATGTACAGAAGGTTTTTATGTTTTATAATGTCTAGATTCTTACCTTTGAGAGGCAACAGATAAGCCTGCTTGTGTTGGGGTTTCTCTGAAGTATAAATGAAACTTATAGGGGGAAGTTTCATTTTATAAGTTCAGGGATTATGGGAACTTTGGAACATTCACAAAGAATCATTCTAAATTCCTCTTCAAAATTATTCCAGTACACAGTACTTAGAGGAATGTTCCTGGTACACATCCATACATGTATGCATGCATTTATGCACACACAAGTGAGCTAGCCTGACATGCTCCACTGTAGGTTCCACTAGGCCATGCTGAACAGGTCAGCTGGTCCCACTAGGCCTCAGGCCCTGCAATGAGGGATGAGTCCCAGAAACCATCGTGCTGGGTGTCCAGAGTATGGGTGCTGTCCTTCCCCACCTGGTAGGTGGATCCCTCCCAGCCTGCTTGTAGGGAACAACTACACAGGCAGTCAGAGCAAGTGGTCTTATGCTCACTGGACTCCTGGGCCAGGGCCCAGGTGACAGGGACTTTAGGGTAGGGCCAGCATAATATTGCTGTATCTCAGGCCTTGAAACCTAGAAAAAGGAGTCAGGGTTCATACTTGGTGAGGCAGCAGGGCCTGGGATGAAGGACACAGATTTTTTTTCTCTTTCTGTCTTCTCTGCCGTTTGGGAGGTACAATGGAAAAGTTCCATGAGCTAGTAGAAAATGAGAAAAAGGTGGTTTGGTCTGGGTCTCTCCTCTGTGCTTCTCTGGGCTGACTCATAGAACCAGAGGCCAGAAAGCTGGCTTGGCCGGTGCTAACTGCCTGTATATTGGCCTAGGTGACCATCTAGCTGGGCAAGAGAAGGAAGTGGAGAGAGTGCTTATTCATTCCTCCCCATCACTCCTCCAGCACAGGGCCACAGATGTTGAATTTGTGACTGCCACCCGAGACAGCTGAAAAATAGCTCCAGAATGCTGTGTCTTTACTGAGCGTGTGCAAACGACTCCTGCTCACTCACTATTCCCTAGACACTGCAGTATGGTCACCGTGTGCATGCCATTTCCCACGAGTGTTGAGTATTATAACAGATCATCTAGAGGTAACTTAAAGTAGGAGTTAGGCTGGAGTTGTCACTTGGTTGTTAGAGTGCTAGGTACTAACCACAAAAGATCAGGCCAAAAGGGAAGAGAAGGACAGCAGGCTGTGGTCACATGTGTTTGGGAAGAGAGGGTCCCTCACTGAATTAAAAGCTTAGTTTCTGCTGTGCTGCCTTGCTAGCATGATCTGCCTATCGTTTCTCCTCATGCTGGGGTTATAGTATGCATCCACAGCATATACAGCATGCACAGATTTTTATGTAGGTGCTGAGGATTTGAACTCAGATCCTTACCTTGCAGGGCAAGCTCACCTACCCATTGAACTATCTTCCCAACCCTTCAAGAGGTTTTTCTAGTAAGAGAACAAAGAAAGTCATAAATTAGAGTACATTAAAAAAAAAGAATACAAAAACAAAGTCTGATTTGATATATATTCATAGAGAAATTTTCTAGAATGTTCACAACTCAACAGACTGGCAGATCTAGATGAGCAGCCGTGGTCATTATGTGGAACATGCTATATTAGGATGGAATGTTAGTTTGCTTTATGCAACTCTTTATGATAACAACGATGACCAAAAGCAATGTGGTGGTGGTGGTGGTTGGGATATTTTGCCTTACACTGCTAGGTCACAGTCCATCATTGAGGGAATTCAGGGCACAAACTCAAGGCAAGAACCTGAAGTAGAAACTGTAGATTTGCTGCTTGCTGGCTTACTCAGAGGATCATGCTCCACTAGCTTTTAAAAAAAATTATTATTATTATTATTATTATTATTATTATTATTATTATTATTATTATTTTGTTTTTTGAGACAGGGTTTTGCTGTATTGCTCCGGAGGTTGTCCTGGAACTCACTCTGTAGACCAGGCTGGCCTTGAGCTCACAGAGATCTGCCTGCCTCTGCCTCCCAAGTGCTGGGATTAAAGGCGTGAGCCACCAACACCTGGATCTACTAGTTTTCTTATACACTGCCTGGGGAATGGTGCTGCCCACAGTGGGCAGAGCTCTCCTACATCAATTAATGACCAAGCCTCACATCAGTGCTCACAGGCCAGTTTGATCTAGGCAATTCCTCCAATGGAGTTTTCCTTTCAGATGACTCTAGGCTGAGTCAAGGTGACAGTGCTAACTGGGACAGATGTCCAAACTTCATTCCAATCCATTTCTTCCTCTGCACTCTGACACATCATCTTTAAGTTATTTGACGTAGACTCACAGGAAGGCCATGGTGCCTGAGGTCAGCCCACCTTTCATCCAGTCAGGTTTGGTATTCAGGGCTCCTGCACATAGAACTTTGAGGGTACAGCCTTGGGAGCCAGGCAGGGCCAACTGATATGAAGTGAGCTCAGAGAACTTTTCAAATACATTGGTATTCCAAATGCCATTGGTATTCTGGTAGGTGGGTTACAGCAAATCAGGGGTGGAGGATCTCTGCTGTAGGCTTCTGATGCTATCTGATGACATTCTTAGTGTTTGGGTTAGTGGAAGTTAGTGTTTATGTGCTCCAAAGAGATTTCCCTAAAAGTCACAAGGGTGTTAGATCACACACAAGGTGTACAATAAATGGCTATTTAGAGGACTAAAGATGACGAAGTAATTTGCTCTCAACTGTAACATTCCAGCTCTCCACAACCATAGTTCTCATCCTTTAATTACATTTGGAGGCATTTCAACTTGTGGTTTTGTTTTGTTTTGTTTTTCTGGAAATTTCAGCTCATGGGAAGAAGGGCACAGTTGGAGCTGTGTGTGTGTGTGTGTGTGTGTGTGTGTGTGTGTGTGTGTGTGTGTGTGTGTGTGTGTGTAAACCTTGGACTTTCTTGGATGGAGGAAACACCTATGCATCCTCCTACCCTTCCCTCCCTTGCTTGGCCTGTGAGGGAACACTTTCTGACCTACCTGTTCTGGGCTTCCGCTGACTGCTTCTCTCCTTGCAGATTCTGGGTGCTGTGATCCTGGGCTTTGGAGTGTGGATCATCGCAGACAAGAGCAGCTTCGTTTCTGTCCTTCGTAAGGCATCCTCTGCCCCACAGACAGCCTGCCCTTGAGGGGAGGGACATATGGGTGCAGCTGCCCTCAGGGACATGGCCAGCTCCTGTGGCTGACTGCTGCACAGGGGCCCCTTGCCAGGGTTCTAGGACAAATTACTGCTCACAGACAAAGCCATCATTGTCTGTAGATCCATGGGTGACTGGCCTGGGGAGGAACTCATTCTCTTCCCTCAGAAAAGCCTCTCACGTCCCCTGTCCCTGTGTTTGACTGCACAGTGAAAGTAGGTTGCTGTCGATTCCCACTTCAGAAGGCCATCGGAAGGAGCCAGGAATGGCAGACAGTCGGGTGCATGTAGGGTCCTAATCCCAATCACCCTGTTCTGCTCTAACCGGAAGAATGAAGGGACACAGCCATTAAGACACTGACTGGGGTTCACACAGCTCCTGATGGTGATTTGCAAGACCCAACCCCACGAGCTCTGGTCCTGAATACAGCCCAGGGTGGGGTGAGCCTCCATGCAAGGCCCCCTCTATTCTTCAGAAGGAGAGGTGATCATGGGCTGGCCTAGGACACAGTGCCTAAACTCCTCACCTCCTCCCTTGGGAGGCCCTCAGGACTGGCTGTGTTGGCCATTCCCAGTTCTGGGTGGGGAGGGGTGGAACATGCCAGGAGCACTCTGTGCCAGCCATTTCCCCAGTGATTGGCAGGCCCTGGCCCTCTTCACTTTCAGCAGCTGTCCCAAGCAGCTGGATCGGACTCTGGCCAATATGACAGCTGTTTGATTTAAATGAGACAGAACCTGGCTGGGACATAGAGAGGAGGGTCTACACCTGCTGCGCAGGTTCCCAGGGGGCAGGTCTTGCTTCAGTAGTAGAAAGCAGGGATGATCCTGCCGTGAGCTGTCACTGTCTGGGTTAGGGTTGGGTAGGGTTTCTGTGCCCACCCCCACACTCCAGTGCCCACCTACAGGAACAAGCTCTCCTTAGACCTGGTTTGGCTTAATAGGTCCAGACCACACCCAGCAGGCACTGTGCCAGGGTTCAAAGTCTGCAGGCCACCTCATTCCTGCCTGCATCCTGCCCTGTGTGATCAAGCCTTAGAGGCCTCTGACCCTCCACAGCTCTGTAAATTCCAGACCCAGGTCACACCTATCACACACCCACCTACTGCTGTTCTGTGTTTATAACTGCTAGGGGCTCCAAGGTAGCCAGGGCCCACAAACACTGATCTGTGTGGCTGGGACAGGCAGACTGCTGTGCTATTTAGGGCAGTGTAGGCTATAGGGTGAAACCTTACTTCAAAAAACAAAACAAAACAAAAAACAAAAATCTAGGGCAAAATACAAAGAAAAGAAACCCTGATCTAGGAGCCCAGGCATTTGGAGAAACTGAGGCTGGTGGAGGCTTTGCTTACAAGGGAGTGTCAAAATGGGGACTTAGGGCTCCTGACTTGCTGTATGACATGGCTGTCCCTTACCTAGGCGCCCCCTTGCTCTGATTCCCTGGTACTGTGTTCCACTCTCCCCGTGGTCTCCTTTTACAGAGGAAAAAAATCCTAAGCACAAGGAGGAGGGGTAACATGCCTGAGGGTACACAAACAGAAAGTAAGGGGGTGGGGATGGCAGCCTTGCCCTGGCCCTTGCACCATGTGACTGTCATGTCCCTCAGGGTGGGATCTTCAGAAGAGAAAGCAGGCAGGCAGGGTTAAGAGGAATCCTGAATCTGCGGGTAGGGTGGGGGGTCAGTCATTACAGATCTGTTGGCTACCAGCTGTGTGGTCTTGGCAAGTTACTTTACCTCTCTGTACTGCTTCATCTACAAAAAAGGAATGACAGCAGTGTACCTCATGAGACTGTGAGAACTTAAGAGTCTCATTCTAAAGTGGGGCATGGAGATTACACACCTTCAGTCTCAGCACTTGGGAGGATCAGAAGTTCAAGACTGTCCTCTGCTACAGAGAAAGTTTGAGGCCAGCCTGAGCTCCATGAGACCCTGTCTGAAACAAGCCTACCAGAAAGATCTGTCCTTTCTATTGAAGCCTTTAGGACCGCTTTGAGTGGGTTGTGTACTACAGTTTAGTCCTTATGACCATGAGACACTGCACAAAGTCCCATGTTTCAGAGGAGGAAGGAGGAAGTGCTTTGCCACAGGTTGTGGCATGCTGGCAAAGATTGGTCACCTGAATGGGTGCCTAGTCCCTTCAGTTTGTATGGCCTGCTCTCTACCTTCCTGGTCCCTTGCTCGCTGAGTCAGATACACTCTCCTGCTGTACACAGGGCAGGGGTCACCCTAGGATAGGATAGTTGCCAAGCCAGCCAGGCTGCTCAGATTCAGGAAGACAGAGACTAAGTGGGGACAACAGGTCTTGGAGTCTCACAGGGCTAGCTCCATGTACCTCAGCTTTCCTGAGCTTCAGGGAAGCTTCTAGAGAGACCTGGGTGTGAATTCTACCTCCCCAGACAGTGCTGTGTGTACAAAGGGTGTTAGTCCAAGGGCCTTGCTCAGGGTTGGTGCATGGCACCCTTCTTGTCCCAGCCAGCCTGTCTCCTGGAACCCAGACTGGGGAGCTGCTAGCTTCTCCCCATCTCTGTGACCCCCAGAATGTGGGGCCAGTGTGAGGAACTTGACTCTGGGAGTTCTCACGCACCCCAGGGGACTTTCCCAAGCTTCTGGGGGCTCTGAGTGGAGTTGGAAAGTTGGCCCCAGGACCATGGCAGCAAGGAGAGTAGGCCTGGGTTTTCCTGAGCTCTGGGACATTACATAAGATCATAAGATCACCCCCAACCCCGGCCCTGCCACCCCACCCCACAGCCAGCATCTTGGCGAGCAAACAGTAAGAATGACCAAGTGGGTCTATGTCACTCTTGCTGGAGGGCCTGAGTTGGCCCTGGCTGTGCCTCACCCCTAGAGGACCATATGAAGGATTCCTTCTCCCTCCAGCAGACCTTGGCCTTGTATGAATCTGGGTCTCATGGTGGCATGCCAGCTCTCAGAGGCAGAATGATCAGTTTAAGCCTCGGCTGTAGCAAGACCTTATTTCAAACAAAACAAAACAAACAAAAAAATCCCCCATTGTGCTGAGCATGGTGACACCCCTTTAATCCCAGCAGAGGCAGGCTGATATCTGTGAGTTGGAGTCCAGCCTGGTCTATATGGTGAGTTCCAGGACAGCCAAGGCTACACAGAGAGATTCTATCTCAAAAGAAACAAAAGAAAACACAGAGTCTCCCTGTTACTTCTGCCCTCCATCCTCTGACCACAGGCCCCACCTTCCCTTATGAGGTCTGTCCAGCTCCCCAGTGCCATACCCTGGTAGGTCCCCATTTCCCCCACAGGCCCAGCCTTCCCAGACATGCTGAACTCCCTGATCTCCCCTCTGTACCTGCTTTACCTTCTGCTACCTACAAGCATACTAGACCCCTGCACTAGCTGGCATCTTCCCACCCTCCAGCCTGTCCCAGCACCATGGTCCTGGCCAGCATGGGCATCTGCAAGTCTTCAGGGTCCTCAACAGAGCCTCTGTGGTGTCTGCCTCCTGACCTACATGCTCTTCCAAATGGCAGGCCTCCCAGGAAATACAACCCTCAGCCCCATCCTTCTGCTTTCAGAGTCTCAGGGTTCAGGGGAAATCAGTGTGAGGTGTAGAGATCAATAAGGAGGAAAAACAACCTTTGGCTGGATGAGAGTGGAGTGCAGCTGTACCCAGGACCAGGAGCCAGTGGAAACATGGCTGCCCCCATCCCGGCTCCCGAGAGTCAGGCAGTAGTCCTGGACTCAGACCGCCTTTACCCTGTGGCTCATGGCTCACTGGGCGGATGCCCTTCTCCTTCAGAAACTTCGTCCAGCTCGCTGCAGGTTGGGGCCTATGTCTTCATCGGTGTGGGTGCCATCACCATGCTCATGGGGCTCCTGGGCTGCATCGGTGCTGTCAATGAGGTCCGCTGCTTGCTGGGGCTGGTGAGTGCGGGTCCTGAGCCTGTGGGGGTCGGATCTCCAGGTGGGGAGTTCTTCCTGGGATGGGGCTAGGCATCCCTGGGCCCATAGCTAACTCTGTACCTCTTTGTCCCTAGTACTTTGTGTTCCTTCTGCTCATCCTCATTGCACAGGTGACTGTAGGGGTCCTCTTCTACTTCAATGCTGGCAAGGTGAGTGAGCACCCTTCCTTCCCACTTCTGCTGGGTGAGGTCTGATGAAACAGATACCTTGGGCATAGGGCAGACAGGAAGCCACTCAGACATCACAGACAACCCAAGATGTCATAGACAAACCCCTGCACAAGGAATGTCCCCCTCTACGTGACCAAGGCCAGGCAAAACTGTTTCTCCTACTGGAGGGGCAGGGTTGACCTTGGCAGTGTCTCTGCCCCTAGGAGGCCCCTGGTGGCACTTGTAATTGAATGTGGGGCAGTAGAGGGAGGGTCAGAGCCCGTAGTGGAATCTCAGATTGCTGTGTAGCCTTAGACTAGCCACTTCCCTCTCTGTACCTGCCTTACCCTCAGTAAACAAGGACTGGTGTGAGGATCCACAGATTCCACCATGCATGCCTGGGTGATTTGCTGATACATGCAAGGCATTTTGTCACTAAGGAAGGCACTTTAGCCTGTGTCAAACGCTACCGCTCCACCACAGATAAGGCCAGGGAGGGGGTCTGTTAATGCAGACGTCAAATGTTTAGCTTTCAGGATGGAAAGTCAGATCCACTGTAGCTTAAGCCCAAGGACATTATGTGCAGCTGACTTCTCCAAAAGTCTGGCTTAGAAGCTCAGAGGCTGGATGTCCTGGAGCATGAAGCCTCATGGTCATAAGGTGGCTGCCACAGTACCAGGCACAGCATTTGCCCTGCTGTGTCCAGAAGAAGAGCGAGCAATGACAGCCAGGACTTTCTCAGATAGTCTCCCTGGGCTGGATCACAAAGGCACCTGAGGAAAGCATGAAGCTTTCAGACTGGCTGTTGGGAATTGTGATGCCCCCCCCCCCCCCCCCC